GTTAGTCTGAAACCCCGAGAATTACCTTCCTCCGGCGGAGGTGATTTTTGTTGCTGTTGTTGTTGCTGCTCAAATCGTCTTTGCGGGAAGGACCCGGCCGTCAGGCTTGCTCCGGGGCTGGTTTATTTTCCTTTCGACGGTCACTCCTGCAGCAAAGCGGTCGTTTTGTCGTGTTTGCAGCTCGCCGAGAAGAGATCTTAAGTCTGGAGGCTTAATTCAGGGATGGGGGGGAATAAAACGGGGGCTATAAAGGAACGCTTTTTTTTTTTTCTTCTCTTTTTAGATCGATCTAGTGCCTTGGAAGTAGAGAAAAAGTTAATAAAGACAGCTTTCCAGCCAGTGCAGAGGCGGTAAGAGATTGCTTCCTCAGTCTCCTAAGGATATGTAGAGGGAGTTGTAAATGGTTAGCTTATTTTCTCCGCTTCTTTAGTTCCCTTTGCAGGGCGGTTTCTTCTTCTTCCTCTGCGTGCGCGGTGGGTTTTTCTGGTTACGTATTTCTACGGAAACTTCAGAGGCTGAGCCTCGCTGCCCAGAGTTTGGCGTGGCAGCCGCTGGAATCAATTACTGCTTTGATTGACTGAAACCACGGGGATCGGGCCCGTGGTATTTTCGTAGCGAAGGAAATTTGCTGTAAGTCACTCCGAAAACTTTTTATGCTTAGAAATCTATTTAAAAAAATAAAACAACAACAACAACAAAAGCAGCGGTACCTATAGTTAAAAATACTGTGCCAGCCCAATCTGACTAGAACTCCTATTAAATATTTTTTTTCTGTGTCATTTTTTTCCAGGCCCCAGAACCAACTTGATGCCGCTATGGTTCTATCGGCGTTGTCATCATCATAGTTAATTTTTTATTGTTGTAATGATTGTAAAAAATCTCTGTATAGTTACAACTTGTAAGCATGTCCGTATATTAAAACTAAAAAGGAAAAAAAATACCCGCTTCTGTACTATCATCTGGATTAGCTGAGTTTGTGAGGTTTTTGGAAGTCCAGTGAGAATTAGGTGTTTCGATTTTTTTTTGTTGTTGTTTGTTTTTGTACATACAGTAAAAATGTACATATGTGTGAACCAAATTGTACAAGAAAGTATATATTTTTGGCTAATAAATAAACTGTTGCCACTTTGACTACACTCTCTTTTCCCACCTCTGGAGTTATTTTTCTCCCCCGCCCCCCCCCCCCCCCCGCTCCCG